ATATATATATATATTATAAAGTTGGCGGTTCACACCGCTGTGGTGACCCCTGATGAAGAAGGACTAAGCCAAAGAAAAAAATAATGAATGAATGTTTCCATGTAACAACAAAAACAAATGTATAATATACAAGGGCATTTTTTGGTATCACTGTTAAAAAAAGTTGACTCAGTTTTTGTTGTTCCAAATTGTAAGGCAACTTGCTGTGGACAGTGCGGATCTTTTTTGAGTTGACTTGATTTATGTTGAGTCAACTCAAAAAAGCTCTGCAGCAAGTTGCCTTACAATTTTAAGTTGAGTCAACTTTTTTACAGTGTAGTAATAACTTCTCACAGAAAAGATTTATAATCTATTAAAAGTCAAGTGTCACTGTCAAGGGAAATTCAAATTGTATACATATGAGTGAGTAAGGTCCAAACTGTTTCAGTATGGCTTTATATTCAATTCATTTCACCTTTATTTGTATAGCGCTTTTACAATGTAGATTGTGTCAAAACAGCTTCATAAGATCATAGTAAACTGAAACAGTGTAGTTCAGTTTTCAGTGTTTAAGTTTAGTTCAGTTTAGTGTGGTTTAATAGTCACTACTGAGAGTCCAAATACATCGATGCACAGCTCTACAGATCCCCAACCATGCAAGCCAGTGGCGACAGCGACGAGGAAAAAAATACTATTGACAAAAGTGAAGAATTAAAAAACCTTGAGAGAAATCAGGCTCAGTTGGGCACGACCATTTCTCCCCTGGCCAAACATCTTGTGTAGAGCTGCAGTCAAGGTGCCGGAGGCTGGAAGCTGGAGTGTCCCTGGACTGTCACAGAAATCAGTCTCATGCTCCTCCATGACCACCACAGCAGCTGCTCAGAATACGGGCTGGTCCAGGATATGGAAATCTTGGGAACATCTCGTCGCTAGTCTTGGATCGAATCAGTTGCGCTGCATTGTCTGAGGGCCTCAGGATGAGTATCCCCAGGTTTAGGAATTGGAGAATAAAGAGAATAATTAGCGTAGCTGCTGTTCATAGTGTATATAAACAAGATGCAGAAACCTGTGTGGAGCACATTCATGTATCATACCGCTAAGTGATGGCCTGAGTGTGTGCTTTACTAAAAAGATTGGTCTTTAATCTGTGTCTGAGCCTCGGACGTTATCAGGAAGGCTATCCCAGAGTTTAGGAGCCATAAATGAGAAGGCTCGACCTCCTTTACTAGACTTTGCTATTCTAGGTACTACCAGAAGCTCTGAGTTTTGAGATCTTGAAGAGCGAGCTGGATTGTAGAGAGACAGAAGGTTGGTTAGATAAACAGGAGCTAGATTATTTCAAGCTTTATATGTAAGAAGCAATATTTTAAATTCAATACAAAACTTAACAGGCAGCCAGTGTAAGGAGGATAAAATTGGGGTGATATGATCATATTTTCTAGACCTGGTCAGAACTCTGGCTGCTGCATTTTGTACAAGCTGAAGTTTGTTAATAGAGGATGCTGGGCAGCCAGCAAACAGAGTATTACAGTAATCCAGCCTAGAAGTCATAAAAGCATGAACTAGCTTTTCTGCGTCTAAGATGGATATACTTCGTAACTTAGCGATATTTCTCAGATGAAAGAAGGCAGTTTTTGTGACATGGAAGACAGGATTTTCAAAAGTTAAATTGCTGTCTAGTATGACATCCAGATCTTTTATAGTAGAGCTAACGCTAACTTTTTATATATGAAGTGTCTGAATACGTTTTTACATAAAATTCTTTTGTTCAATGAAAATGATATATGCATCTTAACACACCATTAATGCTAATAAAGAACTGATATTATATTAGCTGTGTTTAACGAAGAGAATAAATCCAAATATTTAATTTAATTTTCCTTCAGCTTAGTCCCTTTATTCCTCAGGGGTCACCACAGCAGAATGAATCGGCAACTTATCCAGCATATGTTTTATGCAGCGGATGCCTTTCCAGCTGTAACCCAGTATTGGGAAGCACCCATTTACACTCATACACTACGGCCAATTTAGTTTATTCAATTCACCTTTAGGCTATAGCGCATGTCTTAGGTCTGTGCTGGGACTCGAACCAGTGACCCTCTTGCTGTCAGACGACTGTGAGTAACCGTGTTGCCCTAAATCCAAATACCCCAATTAACTTGTTTTCAAAATGCTGTGGTAAAAGAAACGAGCTACAAACTTTTAGAAACAGCTACATTTCTTTCTGGAGTAAGTCCTCGTGTTCTCATGTCCTGCGAGGTTTGAAGAATTTGGCTATTGTTTGTTAGTCACTGCACAACATTTTGCCGAATGCAGCTGTAAACATGCAGAAACCTGCTGTGACTCAGAGAAGCGTTTTATTTCTCTATGTCTGTCTGCTCTGTTTTCCTGTCTCCAATCCTCCTGCTTCACACATGGCTACATGAATGTTTGATATTATCGGAATTTGCTTGGTCAAATGTTTCTGTTTCTCTTCATTGGATGCTCATTCTTCTCTCTAAACCCACATGAGGAAAAAGATAAAATGTAGTTCTACCAGTTTCTGACTCTTCATGTCTTTTGACTGTTTTTTAGTTGCCTGACAAACTAGTTAACACACACACACACACACACACACGCACACACAGCAGAGCCGTAGTTGAGGGTTGTGTAAGTGAATCTGCTGTTTTGTGAGTCACAGTGGAGTTAAACATCTGGTTCTGTTAAATCCACCGGATGTCATTCAGGGTTTTTGAGTCACTGCATTTTAAAAGCCATTTCTTTGTGCATAGAAAGTTTAACATGTATAGAATCAATCATTGATCTCTTTAACATGATTATAACAGGATTAAACTGACATTTATGGGTAATTCTTCAAATGCAGGCACTTTTATGTCCTTTAATATCCAAAAATATATAATTTTGTTCAAATTCCTCTTTCTTTGTTAAACTAACAATAAAACCTACTTAAAAAAATTACTAGCTTTCAGTTATTTATTTTTCATATTATTCAACCTCCTTTTAGGTGTCAAAATCACTGTTTTCATCTTGTCGCACACCCAGAGTTTTAAACTTCAACAATGAAAATAGCATTTTAAAATATTATTTATTTGGTATCTATTAATGTATCTTAATGAAACACCAGTGAAATAATTTAAATGTTTTATAGTTATTAATGTGAGACTATTATCAATATTATTTTTATACAAAATATTGCTGTCGCACAGTATCAGTGTCATTCCCAACACAACGCTGTAATGTCGCTTTAAAACGTTTGTGTGAAAGATTATTTAGGTGGTTTCTATGAAAATGAAGAGTGCCATCTGAGCACATGTTCAAGATGGAGGGAATTTACATTTTTATCAACAACACTTGAATCAAGGTAAATATTGTAAATGTTGGTTAATATTGCTTGATAAGGAAATTCGTTTATTCTACGTCATTTCCAAACATGTTGTATTTCAAAGATGTTTTTAAAAACCAAACAAAATTTAGGTAAATAAGAGTGTTTAGTACACTGTTGAAGTCAGAATTATTAGCCCCCCCTGGAATTATTAGCCCCCCTGTTTAATTAAATTAGCCTAAAGGGGCTAATAATTTTGTCCCTAAAATATTACATATTAATTATAAAATATTAAAAACTGCTTTATTCTAGTTGAAATAAAACAAATAAGACTTTCTCCAGAAGAAAA